GTGTTCAAGATCGCACTCCTGACTCTGATAAAATAATAATTAATGTAAAATAATTCATTTTTACTTGTTTTACAAGCCTCACCTAAGGGTGCCACTGTATGCAGCTGCCACAAACAAGCCAGGGACTCCAGGGTAGACTGCCAGAATATCCATCACAAGGTAGGGCAGCAGCTGGTTTAAAATATAAACCATTTTACTGTTAACTGTAATGCTTTGTTCGATGACAAACAGCATGATGGCCGTGTGTTGGTGAGTAAATAGACAAATAGCAGCTGCAGTTACCTGGTCAGGTGTGCTTATATCCCCGTTTGTAAGTGGGTCACAGTTCTTGTAAATGGAGTACATAGCGAGGCCAGAAAACATAGCCAGACTCACAGTTACCCATAAGCCAACCATGTTCACATACAAAGACCTGAGAGATAAAAGAAGACTTGTCAGTGCATGAACCTTTTCCTCGCAGTCAGTGGTATACTGTCGCACCGCTTTGCAGGAACACTCACATCTTGGCATGTCCCAAGGTTTTGCAGGAGATGTAGCGCTGCACCTGGGACTGGTTGATGGAGTAGATAGACACCCACATCACGCTACCACCGATTATAATGGTCCAGAAAGTATGTCGCTTCAGAGGATCTGGGTCAAAACTGTGAACAAAGACCAACAACATGAAAGAGTACTGAAAGTAATTTTTGGGGACATGACAATAATAATGTGGGATGTCACTTTTAAGGCAATAAGAGGTCTTTCGATCATTGATATTCAGGTTCCTTGTTTACAGAACGACAATATACAGGGTGCCACTGTATGCAGGGGTTGGTCTAGTTTGTTTCCCTGCAAAATTAGAAGACACTAATTCAATTGTTCTAATTCAAGAAGCCCAACCCATCTGGTATTGTAATCAGTTTAAAACAAACTCACAAAAACAAACATTTAATCTGCTTGTGTACTCACTCAAACGCGTTTAGTCGGCCTCCTTGGCGAGCATCTTCCCAAATCTTCGTCAGGCCTCCCTGCAGTACAGCTCCTCTTGCTATAACAGCTGCAAAACCTGCCAGCATGATCACCATCTGAAGCACATCTGTCCAGATTACTGCTTTCAGACCCCCCTGAAACAAAATCCATGTTAAGGATAGCGTGATAGGATTTCATGTACTTATTTCCGATTTAGTTCTAGTTGAGGCTTAGAGTTATGTTAAAATGTTTACAACTATATATTATCGCGCAAAAAATAATGTCGGTTTTATTAACCACAAACTCAAATAGGTAGATGATGAACAGGTAGCCTGTTTTTGGTCTGCCACATTAAAACGGAAGTCCATTTCAGTATACATTATACACTTCTTGTAGATTGTTTGGTACACAGATCAATAATTCAATACGATATATAATACTTTCTGAAATGTACAGTACTAACCAAAGTGCAGTAGAGGATGCACACCGCTCCGGTAGCCACCAGTACGCCCCACAGATCAAGTCCAGTGACTGAGTAGTGAGGAAATGAAAGCTCCATCATGATTCATATATTATAATTATGTCTGGATTCATCATTTGTAACTAGATGCTTAACTTGGGTTTTTACTTTATTTATAATAAGAATACAAATGGGACACAACAAGAGGGCAAAAAAAACTGCAGTATGTAGTACATGAACTCTATTGTCTGGACAACATAAGTAATTGTGAGATTAGATAGAACACTGTATCACCAAGTTACAATTCAATGAGGCTAAAACCTAAACCAAACACTTGTCGACACTTGTTTTGTCAGCTTTTGTCAGCTTTTGTGAGCTTCGGCTTACTTTGATTTAGTGCGAGAGCTGGAGCGTAGATGACCAGACCGGTGTACAGGGCCTGAGAAAAGATGCCACCATTAGTTGATTAGATAGAAGCACAAATAGCATGTGATTCATATTCATGGTTTCTTGGAATTGGAATCAGTTTATCATAAAGTCAAAAACAAAAAAGGCAGGTGCTGTTTACTATGCTAGATCTACACAGACATTTTGTTCCATTTGTCACTGTTTTGTAGTTTTGTTTTTAATTATCTAATTACAAAAACGAACTGAATATTTCTCATATGTTTCAATAAATGCATTTTTTAGTTACCGTCTGCACGATGTACATTGATGTCCCAATTATCCGAATGGGCCGGCTGAAGCGCATCTCCAGGTACTAGAAATAAAAGGGAAACTTGCACCGTCAAACATCAGTAAAGTTATGGATTGGATTGTTCATACATACAGGCTTTGTATACTCATCCATATTCACAAATATTAAAGGTTTTTCTTTCTTTATTCTTTATTACAAACCTCCACTCATCTTTTGGGGGATATACCTCTATAGTAACAGTATGGCCACATGAGTTATTGATTTACAGACATGTTACCAACTAGAGTGGATGAATCAGTAGCCACATTAACCTTTAAAAGCCATGTGTTTCTGCCGCCTACCAACGAAGAATGTTTGCTTTATTGATCTTTAAATTTTATGTAATTTCCTGCTTCACCTCTCCATCAGCCATTGTACCACGTGATACAATTTAGATGTCTGTGCCTCACCTCATAGGCGCTGGTGATCCCCAGTCGGTAGAAAAGAGGGACAAAGATCTCAGCAGTGACAGCAGACATGATGGCATAGGAGAAGCCGAAGAGCCAGAAGGCAGCTCCAAACCGGTAGGCCTCAGCAGGAGTGCCAATGACTGTGATGCCAGACATGAAGCTGGCCGTGAGCGACATGGCAACCGGCACAGCTGTCATTTGCCGTCCGCCCAACAAGAACTCATCGCTGCTGGTCTCCTTACGGCCTCGAATGGCCTGGAAGAGACCAATACCAGCTGCCCCCACAATAGTTCCAGCGAACACCACATAGTCCCACACAGAGAAAGAGGCCACTGGACCACCTGTACCAACCATGGTTAGTTCAACAGCACGAGCTTCCTTGTACACTCTTCTTTGAGTTGTAGTAAAGTCTATTATGCACTCCTGGTAATGTTTAATGTCCTCTAAATTATCCTGCAGTTGTTCTCAGGTCCAGTACACACACCAATACCAAAAGCAAAAATACACCCTAAAAACAGCAAAAAAAAAAAAAAAAGCCTTTCAGCACTTTTCAGTCAGTCAACTGTCAGACATATTCATATTTAAATCAGCCGCATTCATGTTCAGAGGTTCTCTTCAAACCTTCAACTCGGGGTTTTAGTCGTCTGTCGTTTCCTGTTCGGTTTCCCTTCTCTGTCAGTCTGTCGATAGAGTCTCTTCTACTGATATTTCTGGTCTGGTCCACTCTGAGTGTTCGGCAGACCATAAAGATTTCTTCACTTTAGTTAATAATCCCTCAAGGACACTTGATCCTGTAGTCAGCTGTAATTTCAGTGATAGTAAAAGGTGAGGATCCCGTGATGTGTATGAGGCCGCGTTGTTCAGATGGCAAACAACGGACTCTCTGTTGTCGAGATGTATTCGTTCCTTTTGAAATGAAGTGACAGAGTGATACATCCAGGAGGTCTCCTTATATAGCTCCAGGTTACTCAGTAGGAAATTTCAGGAGGCAGGGCTGGTTAAATCTTTAAGGTTGGGCCACTACTCCTATTATCTCATCACTTTTTATGTTATTACCACTGCTTACTCAGCACATCTTTAACTTTAATCCACCCCAGTGATGCATATAGAAGCATGTCATTTCAAACTTAGGAACATGAAGACATCACAGGAAAAATGTGACAACTACAGTAAATAAATAGTACAGATGACAAAGATGGGTGTAAAGCTGCTGCCACGGAACTTTGTCAGTACGACATATATGAAGTGTGATTGATTACTTATGATATTAGTAATCAAACAAACACCGGTTTTACGGTTGATTGATGGGAGTATCAGATCCAGGGAAGTCTTAGAAAGTTAATGTGAAATGGCACAAACCGTTAATGTTTGTAAAGGTCAGCAGGGGACAGAGGAAGAGCAGCTAAGATGGACCCTGAACTGTTTATGTTCTCATTGTATTGTAAGAATTTTGTGAACATTATTCCTAGTCACTGATACACTAGAGAAAGGCAACACATGCCAGACAATAAGCTATGTGCACTCTAAAAGATAACTTTTAGATGAGGACTTAAATTCAGTAAGAGGTACTGTGTACTGTGGTGCTGATTCTTTCCAGTGTGTTTTCTAATATAGGGTCCGTGTTTGTAGGAATCCTAGTAAATTATAAATAAAGGTCCAATTAAAACAAACACAACTGGAAAATTAAAAACAGTCCCATACCTCACTATTGTGACTTAATGTGTGGGAGGGACTTTGGCTGACTCAGCAGTCATTAAACTGAATTATAGATAAGAAAGTTCCTGGGTACTGGCAGTCACTTGTCAGTAGTTTGTAATCTGCATCTGAAAGATTTGGTGAGGACATGAGTGCTGATGTTTACTGTAGCAGATAAATCCTCTCTGAATGTTTTCTACCTGTGTTCAGCAAAGTTTGAACTGTCACAGTCTGTTTTTTTTGACTTTGTATATTGCTGAATGTTTTTAGTGTCAGTTTTTAACCCACAATGCAAAAAGCATCATTTGCACATGCACATTCAGAAGTGTACTGAAATATTTTGAATTAAAAGAAGCTTCGGTTCATTTGTATTCAAATGAGAGATAGAGGAGGTTTGTTTTGGAAAGGGAAATAAAACTCAGGTTAAAATTTGATTGGTGCTCCCGAGCATAAATGAAGCCTTTGGGCATTTTGAGATATCTAGTGGACACTGCTTTGATTACTTTGGCAGAATCAGATACAGAGTTTGACAGATGCTTTCAGCTTGTGCAGCATCCATTGCGTCATTCTTCTTGGTTACTGCATGAACTTTGTCCACGAAAGAAATCATTAATTCATGTCATTCACATAATGGACAAAAAGTTCAGTTTTTCCTATTCATCACAGATAGAGGATAACGGCTAGCTCGGTTAAAGGTTGATCATATAAAGTTTGTGGGTTTGCATAAATACTGTTCAGCAGGGATGTTCAGACTCACAGCATCATCAGCCCTGCAGGTCAGCACATCTCTCAAGCCGGTGACTCTCACATGCAGAGCGGCACAGGAAATGCTATATTTAAGATACCAAACATTTGTTCATCTCTGTTATCTGGTTGTCACTTTGTCTCTTTATCTTTCTTTCCCGTGCAGGTCCAAAATTGATTGGAAAAAAATAACATTACTCAACATGGAGACTGCCGTGTTCAACTGCTGGCTCCTTTTTCTGCTGTTCAGCCCAACAGTTCCCATGTGTTTACCCACAGACTTCACCCTGTATGTGGAGAAGCCAGAGTGTGACTTCTGTGTGGCGATCAACACCACTATCTGCATGGGATTTTGCTACTCAAGGGTGTGTACTAAAAGTCCTTTGTGTTGAAAGAATAGACTGCTATTTCCTCTTCAGGTGGAAAGAAAGAAAGAAAAATTGCCATACAGCAAAAGAGAAGATATAAAAGTTTAGACCCTGGGCACTGACATTTCTTGAGTCTAATTAGTTGGCAGGTGAGGATCAATTTTTAATCTGTAACCTTTTTCTTCAAAAACTTTATCAATCAAAATAAATTTCCATTTTTATCATAACCAAGCATCTTAAGTGTATTATCAAGTGTTAAACAGTGTAAATGGAAGGTAAGGTAATTATATGAAAAATGTTCCAACATTCAGTTCTGTATATATTCTCTGTTTTTATGAAAGAACTTATCAAGTATATAAAATCATGAAGTAAAACAGGTAATCGTTAAGAAAAGTTGGACTTCTGAATTTAAAAAAAATCACACTAAAGTAAAACATTTACAATAAATAATAAATTCATTTTAGGGACTTAACATTCAAAAATGATTAGGAAATCTTCAGTAAGTATTGAATTTTAAATCTTTCATTTTACAAAATGCCTTATCCCCATCATCATCCATTACAGTTATGTGACTTGCAATAAGTACAACATGAAGTATATTTAATATGAAGGTTCTCTGTTTTGTTTGACATTAGGGAAGGAAGTGACAAATAAAATGAAACAATCATGGTACATTTTTACACGCTAAATAATGAACTCAAGGGAAACGTATTACAAGATCATTCATGTGCCGTCACTGTGTTTGTGTATGATGAGCAGGACAGCAACATGAGGGACATAGTTGGCCCCCGCTTCCTTATCCAGAGAGGCTGCACCTATGACAAGGTGGAGTACCGTACCGCCGTACTGCCCGGCTGCCCCATTGACTCCAACCCTGTTTTCACCTACCCTGTGGCTGTCAGCTGCCACTGCGGTGCCTGCAGGACTGACAGTGATGAGTGCGCACACAGAGCCGGTGGGGACAGAGCTAGGTGCACCAAACCAGTTAGACGGATCTACCCATACCCTGGTCAGAGCAACTACATGATCCCTTTCTGATTGTATTGTTTTTGTTCTCATTGTGTCTTTTTTTGTTAAAGTTACTGAGCACGACTGCACGATCCAAGAATGTTTTTTTTTTGTTTTTTGTAAACATACGCCATCCTTTAGCTTGTGATGGATACAGTGATATCTGCCTGTACTGTTACCTATTGTACCAGTTTTATTGTGCCTTTGTTGCCCAACGCGTCTGTCCTGCAGCTCTGCTTCTCAGTTTACAATGGGGGTTTATCCTGGTGCGTATTTCTGATTGCTCTTGTACACTCATTTGTGTTTGACTTTTTATGTTTAATTTGAAAGGGATACTCTGAATGCAACTCAATTAAAGCTAAATTCTCTAAATAGCTCTCTGACTAAGCTGCACTTGACTTAATCAGATCCTGTGTTAGACCACAGCTTTCTGTTTACAACATGACAAACAGGCCATCATGCTCCACAATGTCACCTCAGGATACTATATTTGCCTCCACAGTCATTCTGGAAGCACATGATTGTTGACACACCACTTATTATTTAATGGATTATCAGGGACAGTGTCAAACCACAAAGCTTTGGAACAACACACACCAAAGAGAATCAGGAATCGCCGAACACCAGACTTACATTGGGAATTTGTTATATGTAGAGTTTGTCTGTAGTTTCGCATTCACAAAGGGAATTTGAGAGGACAGCTGGAGCTTATTAATAGCTCAACAGTTCACAATGGGAGAATGTATGAGCGGTCCATCATGTGGATCTCTGCGACATCACTCTTTCATCTCTTTATATTATATTCTGTCACTTCTCTGTATTATAGTGTTCTGTTAGTGAGGGTTTTTATGGCAACGTGTCTCTGTGTTGATGAAAAAATAAATAAAATTTGTTAGGTTTAGACAGTTACCGGATGTAGCTGAGCCTTATTTGTCTTACATGTTGGCTCTGCAGCTGTGACAGTATCTCGCATTTTGAGCAGATATAAAGTAGAATAGAAAGTCGGTGACCTAAAAGATAGCATATCAAAGATTTAAAGGTCTCTTGACTAAGGAGAAAGAAAGGGCCTCAACAGTCAACAGGAGTGATCGCCTGACACAAATCATTATGACCCTTGAATCAACTTTAGGACGAGGTGCGTTTTGAGGGCACAAGTGAAAGAAGCTCGATTTGTTCCAGTTAACTGTGTGAGGGGAAATCTGGATGGAAAACCAGTTCATAAAATGCTGACACTGGTTACACTTGTTTTCTTCTACGGCCTTGAGAAAGCTTGTACAACCTCTGACAGCCTGACACTTTGTTTAACCTTGCAAACACCTGACAAAATGGCAGAGTATTATATCCATGCAGGGATTTATAGTCCTTTGCCAATTTCTTTGTCCTCTGAGTGTATGAAATACCATACTGCTTATTCTCCTTTGACCTACATGCATGAAAAGGCTAAAATTGGCTTTATTGAATTTGCTTTGTTCTTGTTCATACCTTCATTATAATTAGTAGATAATAGTATTTTTTTTTACCTCTCTGCAAAGGAGTGCCATATTTAGCATATTTAGTACATAATAGATATTTCCATCCATTCTCCGCTGCTTATCCTAAGTTGGTGCTGTGGTGGCAGCAGGCTAAGCAAGGTAATCCAGACATCCCTCTTCCCTTCCAGATCCTCCTGGGGGATACCAGAACATTCCCAAACCAGATGACATGCATAGTCTCTCCACTGTATTCTGGTTCCACCCCGGGGTCTCCTGCCAGTTGGATGTGCCCGGAAAACCCCCCAATGGAAAGCACCCAAGAGCCATAATATATATTTATATATAGTATGTAATATATAATATAGTTTGACAGGTGATGACTATTCAAAAGCAGTTATTTAGTATAACCTTACCCACAAATCCACATAACTGGAAGGTTAATTTTGCTGTTTGCTTTATATTAATAGTTGACCTGATATGACTCTAAAATCATCAGACTGATATGACACAATGGTTTGAATTGCCCAGCCGAAATTCCCTGTGTAGTGGTGTTTTGAAAACCCTAATACCCTAATGGATAAAGCAGTGTATGAAATGGAATTTGCTTCCATCAGCACTCCAAGAGAACCAGCTATGTGGTGCACATACCGATCACTCTTTCATTCAGACAAACCATACAGTTTTGTTTGTGTTGTGTTTATTCAACTAGAAAAAATGTGAGAATTTGTTTCAGCTATGCTAGTGGCACGGCAGGGATACCAGTGGCGGTCTGTCAGTTGGTTTGTCCGTCCTCCGCTTCGGTCTACACTGAGATATCTCATCAACTACTGACTGCAGTGATCCAATCACACCTCCAGCAGGTTGACATTTCTGGTTTGAAGTGATATGTCTTGACAACTACCGGATGGAGTGCCATGAAATTTAGTACAGATATCCATGTTGCCCAGACATTGTGTTCTGAGGACTTTGGTGACCTTTCCTGTAGTGCCCCCAGCTGGTTAAAGTTTTCACTTGTCATGTGACATATCTCAACATCTATGTGATGGAAACCTTTGGTCAGACATTCATGGCCCCCGGACAATGACTCCTAATGGCTTTGGTGTTCCCCTGGCCTTCCTTCTAGCGCCACCATGAAGATCACATCTGTGGTTTTCAGGTGAAATGTCTCGACAAATATTAGATGGATTGCTATGACAATTGGTTCAAATATTCATGTTACCCTTGAGTTGAACTGTAATTGCTTGGGCTAATAACTCCCTCACCTTTTCTCTAGCTCTCCTCAGGTTAACATCTTAATTTGACCAGTGCTTTTGTTTTATGACCAAGTACCTGCAAAACTAATGACATTCCCATCATCCACAGCTGTAGTTCACGTTCACTGCAAATTAGTAAATGATAAAAAAAGTCAAGATGCTAAACTAAGATGTGTTAGCATTTAGTTCACAGAACCACTGTGCCAAAGTACATCATACAACATTTCTGCTGGACCCTCTAAATGGGTATTGGTACTGCTGTAACAAATTTACATTATGACCACTTATACCTTTTATAATTTTGTTTGTTGCAGTTCACTATAATTGCTAGATTACATATGCAAAAGAGAACATAGACATACTGTCAAAAAGGTACAGTAAATAAAATGTAACATTCATTGTAACACATACAGCAGTTCCAATTTCAGTTTTCATATATATATATTTATATATATATATATATATATATGAATAAAGCCACAGGTTTATGATGAATGCTAATATGATCCTTGATTATTTGATTCCTCTTGGGCTTCACCTATTCTTAAGTGGATAACTAGATGTTTGGTAATCTTGTATTTAAATAAAAGGAACAGTGTACAAAATAGGATAGAATACAATGGTTATGTAAGTATGAGATGCCACCTATGCCATAGCTGCATACTACACTTGCAGATCATATGTCCTATTCGCTGTTACACAACCTTTCACCATCAGGTATGGAGCAGCAGTAAAAGACAGGTTCCTAATTCCTTGGAATGTGCCCATACCTTTAAAAGATAAACTAGTTGTAATGCTAACAGGATCCATCATGCCTGAAGCATCTGCCCTGTATTTTTCCATGTCATGCAGCTACTTGGTGCTGTGAGCACCTGTCATTGAAACCCATTCAGTCGAATATAGCACATGATCTGACTAAACCCTGGAAAAATCTCTTTTGAGAAATCCAATAGGCTACCTTTTGTTCTTGACTTAACCTAGACAAGCGATACAGCATGCCTTACCACATAAGGTGGATGCACTGAGCATGAAGTCTCCTCTTCAGTGAAATCCTGCTTTATATGCATGAACTGGCAAGATCACACAAGTGAGTACCTGTCCAGCAGATCCAGTTACAGTTCAGAATAAGAAGTGACTTGCTGAAGAGACACCTTAACAATGGGTAATGAGAGAGGGGTGAAACTCATCAACTTCCTCAACCACATTTATCCTGCTGAGCGATAGACTGGAAGAAACAGGACCAGTAGTGAAAGAAGTCCTCAGATACCTTCCTTAAATTAAAATAGCAATAATACAATTTAAAATACTGTAAAAGTCCTGCATTTAAAACCATATGGGGGAAAGTATGGGATTATTATCAGTATCAGAATCAAAAGTAAAAGTAGGCCTACTTACAATGCAGTAAAGCAGCCCCTATCAAAGTTACATATTTTAATAGTGTTTATGCATTAAGAAGTTTATTTGTTGCAAGAGTTCAAACTAGCCAATTTTAATTATGTGGTATACTATAAAAAAGGAAAAATATTTCAGTCTGATATGTGTAAAAGTGCAAGGTAGCCTAATGCAAGATAATGCAAGTACCTCAAAATTGTGCTTGTATTTACTAATGTATTTTGTTACTTTCCACCACTGGGATTAACTTTTGAGCACCTGAATAGGATAGAAAAGACTAGAAGAGAACACAATAGAATGATGTCACTCCACTGAGAGGATCAATGGGCTTACCAGAGTGAACTTAATGCTATAATGATCTTAGCTCAGCGCCAAGATCATATTAAGCTTAAGATCCTTTTGAGAAACGGTGTCTTTACCGCTTCACAGATCTTTGACAAATCTCTCGGAGTAAAAACCAAATTTGAATGTCTAACCTTTTGCACTGGTACCCACATTCTTTAACTTTAAACCATATTTGAAAGAAAGGCTCGCCGAACAATGGTTTCTTTCAATTTTCACACTTCACCATCTTTGTAGCTGTGTGATTGGTGGAACAGTTTGAGTGATCCGTGTAGTCCTCTAATGAGAAAAGGAGAAGTCTAAAGATAGCCAATCAAATGCCGGTATGCAAATTATCTAAATGCTGATTGGTTGTATTTCACCGGTAATGTGGATTTGGGCGGACCGTACCCGCCCCCTCGGTTAAAACTGAGTGGAAATTTCCTCTCTCCACTCACAGTTTGCAGACACTACCGGTTCATCGCACGAAAGCGGAAACTAATAGCCAGAAACAACCTTAAAGACAATCTTTTGGTGAGTTAAAGTTTTTAAATTATATTTTAATAATATTGTACTTGTTTTAACGTCATGAAATTGCTCGCGATAACCAACTTGGTCGTTTTTAGGGGCGGTAATGTTCTGAATGGTTATCTATCTGACGCGGCCTGCTAGCCTAACCAACCGTGTGTGAATCTGAAAGACAGCGAGTAACTGTTGTGAGACAAGGCTATTTACAAATCTTTTTTTTTTTTGCTGCAATTGCTGCATCAATGCACGACCCACGACGTCCCTCTAAATTTTACTTTCAACATGTCTTTCAACATACTTTGTGTATTCGGCTGTAGATCAGCATCGAGAATGTATGAAAGGCGGTAAATGCCCATGTATGGTGTTCCGGTATGTCAACTAGAACACGCCCACGGGTTGTACTACTCATATTGAAAGTAGCAGAGCTGCTACATCATGGTCCCGTGACTCTGAGGTACTACATAAGCCTCTGCAGTGGGTGGAGTCTGTGTGTATATATTCTTCAGAACTGCACCCTGCCCATATATTCTAAGTAACTGACTCCTTTCTTATCTCTGTCTAGGACTCTATTTATTAATTTGACTGAAGAACACTTGGATCTACATCACTTCATTTCTACATCTTCTTAACTTATCGCCACTTATTTCAAAGTCATCATGTCTCAGCAGCAGATCAGGTAAGTCTCATACATTCTCTCTTTTTTTTTATATCATTGTAAACTGGCTTTGTGTTTTTGAGTGTTGTTTTAACTAAACAAGAAAAGACATCACCTTGGGCTATCACTGTTTACCAAATTATTAATTAAGAAAATAACTGGCTGATTGGTTGATAATGAAAACTAATTTGTGTCTGTTGTTAGCACCTTTTAAAATGATAAAGTTAGGGCTGCAACTAATTTAGTAACATATCTTCTGATTTTCCTTTAGATTTAGCAAACAATCATGTTATCTATAGAATACAATCAACAGTGAAAAACATCAAATCCCCCAAATTCAGAAGCTGGAAACCAAAGATTTGTCAAAACAAGGATTTTATTCACAAAAGAATTATTGATTGATCAATTATCAAGTCATTATTTTCATTTTATTTCTCACAATTTTTTGCAGTTCATTTCCATATTAAGGTTTTGGCATTCCTTTTTGTCATCTCCTTTCAGCCTCCCAGCCAAGCTCATTAATGGCGGTATTGCTGGCATCGTTGGGGTTACTTGTGTGTTCCCCATTGACTTGGCAAAGACCAGGTTACAGAATCAGAGACAAGGTCAGCAGGTCTACAAGAGCATGTGAGTATTTTTAGTCGCTGCTTACTACTGTTTACTGTTTTACACGACATACTCGGTAACACCGTAACACCAAATCTCTTAGTATTATACCTACTACGCCTGTGCATAATCCAGTATTATTCTTGCTAATCCCACAATTACACATGGAGGACATCAGGATGAATGTGTATAATTGGGGAAATTCTTGACTTGATGGACCATGGTGACTATTCGTTCCTCTCATTCCTATCGAATGAGGCTGTCCATATCTCTTAGGCTGCCTTTGGAAGGTGAAAATCTGCTGCTCAGTTTATCAGCTCAGCATCTGTGTTTCCTTAGAGCAGTCATTTTCTCCTCTTGTTAAACTTTGTCATAAATACCTGGCCTCAAATTCTTTTTAAAATAATTAAGCCTCTGAATTTTTCTTTTCTGTCAACTGCCTTGTGTGGTTCACACCAATAATATTCCTTTGCTTTCTTGTTCTATAGGATGGACTGCCTTGTCAAGACAGTTCGATCAGAAGGCTACTTTGGCATGTACAGAGGTAAGATTTATACATGTCTGAATGTTAAGAACCAATAGTCTAGAACGTGTAGAGGAGGATTAACTGTAGGTGAGGGTAAGATCTGTCTGTGGTGAGGTTGATATGATTACTGCTTGGTACTCCTAATCTTTACTGAGGGTTCAGATACAGAGTATGTTCAGTGTCTGGGATGCTTGATTTACTGAAAAATATGGTTATAAGTTGGAATAAATTGTAAGAGAGAAGTAGCCAAAGCTGTTCTCATGCAAAATGGATTTGTAGCTTTAAGCTGTGGTGTTTTTTTTTAATTTTTTTTTAATATAACATACATGCAGTCAGTAGGAAAATTCATGTCCTGTCTTGATTTAGAAAAGTAAAATCTTGTGGACATAGTGTAATATAAAGAAAATGGAGACCTTTTAGTCTGAGTCTCTGCTTGTGTGAGGAATGCTGTTTGTTTGCATCTGTGTTTTTCATATTACAGACTTGGGTCCCCCTGGGATATTGAAGGCTAGCCGATAAGGCGCAGCCACGCTGGAGGCAAATCATTAAATGGTTCTTACAATATTGCTCTATTTAAAACTATAGGCACAAGTTTTTGTTTTGCCATCTATTTGTTCTGTAATTTGACTACCTTTCAATAACTTACTCGGCTGTCTCTTCACTGTCCTGTCGATTTTTTTTTTTTTTTTTTTTTTTTTTTTTGTCGTGGATCCTCATTTTCTAGACTATGGATTGTGCTCTTTTAAGACTTTGGTTGATCTTGCAAATGTATCTGTGGTGAACTAATAAGATGTTTGTTTGAGATGGTCCCACAGATTTGTTTTTAAGTTTGCCCAAAGTCAGTGCACACAGTACATAGTCTGGGGTTCTGTCTGTCCTTTCACTAACATCTCTGCATTTCTGTTGTTTACTGATTTGTAGCCTTTCTGTAGACACATAACTTTTCTGAAAGTTTTCTCCACACAAAGTGGGCCCTGTTATTATAAACTGACTCACTGTACTTCATAAACTTTGTTTGCATTGCATCTTCCTCTGATATTCATTACCCTCCTCGTTTCTTCTCCCATCTTGTTTTTTGCTTGTTTCTCAGTTTCCTTCTGAAACAGATGTTTTTAATATAATTTCTCTTGAAATAATCCCCCTCCATCATTATTACTGAAGCTACTGTAAATTGATAATTTGTCTTGTCTGTGTGTAGATTAGCTATACATTGGCCTAATAACAATCTGATGTTGTAATGATAGTGGCGGGGAATGTTTTTTTTGGTAGATGAGCTTAATAAAAATAAAGATTGTGACTTCTATGCTAACTGTGTGTCTTTTTTTCCTCAGGTGCTGCTGTAAATCTGACACTGGTTACCCCTGAGAAGGCCATCAAGCTGGCTGCTAATGACTTATTTCGCCACCACCTTGCCAAGGATGGGTGAGTAAAGGATCTTAGCTAATCATTTAATGGAAATTCAGTGTCCTACTTACTGAATATTTACTGAATATCTCTCTTTACCTATTAACAGAAAGGGGTTGACAGTGTTCAAAGAGATGCTGGCAGGTTGTGGTGCAGGCATGTGCCAGGTCATTGTCACTACCCCCATGGAAATGCTCAAGATCCAGCTACAGGATGCTGGCAGACTGAGTAAGAGGACTATAAGTTTCATATTTAATGTTATCGATTTTAGATCATTTACTTGACTCACCGTCAACATTAACCCCAGTGTTATTGAGTACATTAATATATGTTTTGTCTTTTCCCCAAAGTGGCCCAGCAGCAAAAACCAGTCATGATGTCTCCCACCAAGCTTGTGGCCACTAACACCATGCTCAGCCGCTCTTACAACTCTGGCACTGTGGTCTCAGCACCACGAGCTGTGTCAGCCACACAGATCGCAAAGGAACTGCTTCAAACCCAGGGCATCCAGGGGCTCTACAAAGGTCTAGGGGCAACACTAATGAGGTAAAAACTCTTGCTTCCTGGTGTGAACTTGTTAGACCCGTTACTTTGGATGAGCGTTTCAGTCTGAAATGACACTTTGCTTAATTTCTTTCAGGGATGTTCCCTTTTCTATTGTCTACTTCCCATTGTTTGCCAACCTGAACCGCCTGGGGAAACCCAGTCCCGAGGAGTCATCACCCTTCTATTGGGCTTTCCTCTCAGGGTGTGCAGCAGGATCAACTGCTGCAGTGGCTGTCAACCCCTGTGATGGTGAGGTTTGAGGAGAATGTCATTGATCTGTCGGGTTAGTGGCAGCTCTGGAGTGTTGTCTGAATTTTATTTTCTCTCTCTTCCAGTGGTGAAGACTAGACTGCAGTCACTGAACAAAGGGTCCAGTGAGGAGACTTACAATGGCGTTGTGGATTGTGTAAGGTAAGACAGTAGGAGTCATTCATTGTTACATAACTATCTTTCTTTCTTTTTTTTTTCTCTCCTTTGTGCTTGTGTATAAATAAACACACACAACTCTCTGTCTCCACAGTAAGATCATGCGGAAGGAGGGGCCCTCTGCCTTCCTGAAAGGTGCCGGCTGCCGGGCTCTGGTCATCGCCCCTCTGTTCGGTATTGCACAGGTTATGTACTTTGTTGGCGTTGGAGAATACATCCTGGACAACTCCCCACTGAGCCTCCTGTCGGCATGAGACCGTATCAGTTTGCTGGCTATGCGTAGGACCTTCTGAGCATAAATGATGAAACAACTGGCAGCTAGATATCACCAGTTTACAGCATAAAAATTACACGAGGCTTGTTTGACAAAGTAAGGAAAGGCCTCGGGGTGTAAAGACCTATGATTTCATCTTGTGTATGGTCTGACAGTTGTGTTGCACTGAAACACTTTTATGACTTATTCATCAGGCTGTGGCCAATGTTTGCTCAGCTGTTAGCCTTACTGTGTTGAGGGACTCAGAGTTGCAGTGTTATTCTTTCTTTGTCCCGAGACAGTCTTGTTCTGTTTCCCTCTGTGAGGGAGGGGAGCTCACTCCATCAAAGAGACAGACCTGTTTCTGTGTTTTCTTCCATGCTATCACTTTTCATATTATTATTATTATTATTATTATTATTATTATTTTATATGTGTGAGCTAGAGTTTTATTTTGAATTTCTGAATGCAATAGCTTGCAGTACTTTCTGTTTGTATGTTTTTCTTCCTTTTCCACTGCTGTCTCATGTTACAGAGCCTTCAAGTACAAGGAACAGGGAACAAAGGCTTCAAATGGGAGAGACATAAGGGCCCAATTTACACAATTTATTGCAAAGGGATCTTTTGTGTTTTTTTTTTTTTTTTTTTTTTTTTTTTACATAAATCTTCAATAACTGTGAGTGTACATGTTTAATTTGACCGATCATGAACCTTCCTACTGACATGGGACCATACGGGTTGCCAAACCATTACCAGCGTCCTGTTATATACTTGATATTAACCCTACTGTTGTTTTGTAATCTGTGAACCACAGTCTTTGTATCTTAATATCTTGCAAAAACTTGAGATGCATTCATGCACATTATATATGTTATGTGTTTGTCACATAACCGCAGTTAAGAGATTCACTTATGCAATACAATTTCTCCCAAAAGATCATTTTTGGTCTATGCCTTAACACAGATGACTGGCATTTCTCTCTGAAGGAACAATGCTCTTGACCAGAAAAAAGCATTATTACTGTTACTGTGATCATGTGAAAAATGACTGTAACTATACTTTATGTGTTTGTGATGGCTTTTTGTACATACTGCATATGTGTGTGTGTATATATATATATATATATTACAAAAAAAAAAACTTCAATTCACTCGTTCTGTGTTTGTGAATCACTGACTGAATCAGGGAACCATTATTAATCTACATGAAGGGGATGGACAAAATAACTAACGTTCCATGAAAGTTTTTTTTATTTATTTTTTATTAAACTACTACAGAGGGAGTCATAATTAACATCTACACATTGTGAACTATATTACATGTCTCTTCTACATATTTGAACAATTATGCTGCTTTGTCAGACACTTTGTTAATACCTTAAACTGAAGCTAAGCTAATGACAGTGCAGCCCCTATATTAGGCAGGAACAAAAGCGTTTAATGTGCAGTGGAAAAGAAACCAGTCAGTATCATGCTTTAAATGATTTAGTAGGCAATATAAAAAAAAATGATTACAGGTAATTATGTAGAAATTACAGTTGGAGAATAGCATATTGATACTCAGGTCAATATAACATTTGACCTTTACAGGTTCATTCTTGACCTTGAACAGAAAACGATGAAAAAAAAATATTCTCAACACAAGGTCACATTTGTCAAACCAATGGCATGTTAAAAGAATCCTGGGTGACTGGGCCCTTTGTGGTCTATATGTATGTCACATTTGCGGTTTAGTTTCCTGAACTTGCCTCCCCTATTCCTTTTTTAGCATGGTGGTGCTGTTCTACATGGCTGCCATTTCTCGTCAGTGAGTCTACACGGAGCGCTGACGTGTTCAGGAACCTCACCAACCACAAAATTTACATTCATGAAACAGTTTTGCTCTGCTGTCTGCCGACACCTTCTCCTGACTCCTTCCAAAAAGCAAATTCATGATTCAGACACTTCAAAGGCAGGGAACAGAGAACAGCCAAACATATCAATAAAAGCACCACAATATGTTTTTTTTTATTATGTTTAACAGTACAACATAAGCTATATTATTCTATAATTCATATCTTATTGGCACACCAACAAGATTTGCATCCACAATAATTCACACAAAACGCAAACTAGCTCACTGTTACAGTTCACACTTGCTCCAGAAGGGCGCAGGATGTGGTGTTACTCGTTACCTTTTACATGAATTTGGAAATTTACAGAGTGTCAGTTTATCATCAGACCTTCCTAACCCTTTGGGTTGATATCATGTCTACACTTCCTCTATTGTGCTTTAAAGTAGCAATACTTTAGAGTGGTGGCAGGGAGCAAGCACAGTCTTTACGTACGTCTTCAGAGATCACAAGAAAAAGATAAATAGTAGAGTAGCTGGAGGTTTGTATGCGTGACTAAATAGGCACGTAAAATTTACTCTGCAAAGGTAGGCTAGTCCTCCAAACATTTAAACACACAGTATGATTGGCATTAGGCCTGTAAATGACATAAAAAGGACTACAAAGGGCACAGAATAAATAATGTTAACAGCAGATGCATAAAATAGGGGTCCATATTTACAGCAAGTACTCCTCAGTCACAACATTCGTGTGTCAAAGAAGGCTTCATGTACTGTGTTGTGGCTACAGTGCAGCAGCAGCAGCAGCGCCGGCAGTGTAACGACAGGATGTTATAACCAGGGAATGTCACAGAGTCCTGCCAAAAGCTGAGCTTGTGTTATGGAAAAGAGCGGAGAAAGAAATCGGTGTTTCAGTGGAGAAGGTGTGAAGATAATGATGATCCAGCGTATCGTGTTGAGTGTGGCCCGTGGATAACTGGGAAGAGTGGGATGTATTGTGCTCTCTCTATTTGTGATATCCAGTGAAAACTCCCTGCCAGATCAGTCTGGACTGTGAGAAATGACATTGAAATGTAACTTTGGCGTTTCCCTTCCTCTGCAGACAGGTTGATTATGAAGGGCTCGGTGGGCCTGTAGTGGTCTGGAAGGTGGGGGCGGATGGATGGAGGAGGGGAAGGAGGGGGCGCTCAACTCACATCTATATAACCTCCCTGCTGTTCCTGATGGCACAACACAGCACCATACTGAAGATCATTCCTATGATCTGAAATCACACACATTTTTTGGGACATGTTTAAGTATTTGTGGTACTTAATGTGAGGCTGTGTCAAGTACCACAAACCAGTGTAATCAACAACTTGAGGATAAGTAGTCTGAAATTGTCAAAAACTTTAATTATTTCTGTTTTATGCAGTTTAAGTCAAAGATTTTTCAAATTCTCACCATTACACCTGCGATACCAATCCCAATGTATCCGATGATATGCAGCTTTTCATTGAGGAAGTCTGTTATTGCAGACAGACAGTCCTAAAAGAAATGAACAAACCATTCATACTGATAATTACAGACACCGTAGACAATCCTGCCATGAATTAACAAAAAAGCCACATTGCAGCAACTCTTGTAATTGTGGCCCAGTGCTATACTGCCACCATGTGGGTGTAAAGTGCAAAGCAGACGTGGGTTTACCTTGGTGTCAGGTGGAGCGTCTGCACACAGCTCATTAGACAAGTCGGACATGGATCCTCCACAACAGTTCAACTGTGAAAGTAAAAAGTGAGAAGAGTGGAATTGTGACACTAGTGGCATCAGTTGTGACAACTACAAGAACTATTTGAAGTTTTACTCACAGTCCTGTGGTAAATGAGAGCTATTGCAGTGCTGTTTGAATTGGTGGCGTCAGCAATGGAGCTACTGTAAAACTTTTGGACTTCCTCAACAATCTGTTATTGAGAGAAGATCAAATAAAATGAATCATTTCACTTATGGTTCTGAAAACGTATTACAGTCACACATTCAATAAAAATGAGGTAATTAAGTCTGTACCTGTTCCTTGTTTATGAATCCAAACACACCAGCAGAAATCTCTGCACCAAAGATTATCATAAGGCAAGCGAAGAACTGCAGAGCAGAATAGAGCTTTATTATTTCCTTCTAGCAAGGGGCTGTCTTTAAATAAAAAGTAATGGACCAAGATTGCGACATTTATTAATAAAGGTCTGTTATTTCCTAATAATTTCCTAATATTGTGATTGAAAGTTCATTGTTGACCTTGGAAACAGCAGTTCACCAAACAGCTTTCTTGGAAAGAACATAATTTGTTACTGCTAATAGAAAGAATATGAATGTCTTTGAAAAAAGGCTCCATTTATTCAGCACCCCTCATTTAAAAGTGTGCCAAGTTTACATCATAAACAATAAAAAATAAAAAATAAAACCAACAAATGCAAAGTGACAATAAACCTTGCAGCAGTAAGTAATGAGGGATGATAAATGAATCTAAGATATCCAGTGAAAAAAAAAGGAAAAAAGTCAAGATCATAGCTGTAATAAACATAAATGTGTTTATTTAAACCAAAGTAAGTGTTCAGCCATTATTCTTTTACTATTAGACACATTATTCTGCCTGCAGACAAATTTCACACTGTTTTCACCTGCTGTGCAGTGATTAAAAAAAAAAAATTTGGTTACACTTACAAGAAAACTGGAATGAATTCATTGGAAGTGCAACTCTAATTAGTACCAAACCACACATTGTAGCTTCACAGCTTTTTTTTTTTAGGAAACTTCCTGGAAATTATTCAGAAATTACAGACCTAAAAAGTAAAACAGTATCACTAAGAATTTATAGGGATTGTGCTACAGAACATTTATTTCTCCTACAGAAGCCGGAAAAAGTTCACACCCCCCACCCCACAATTCTTCATTAACAATGATGGGAGAAGCAAATATAATTAAAAAAAGATCCATGTTGACCTTTAGTGAAATAAAGGTCAGCACGATATCATCATCTTAATTAAACTTAGTTTCACTCCATGTTTGAACATGAATAACAGAGCCACAGGAGGCAGCACTGCTGAGCACGTGAACTCACCGACGCAAGGAGACACTGAGACTCACGTACGGCCCCAAAACAGCCAAAGAACCCAACGATCATCATCAGGCCTCCTGCACCGAGAAGGATGTACACAGCTGGAGAGACAGAAAGACAGACAGATGAGCACTTTAAATTGTGTCACTCTGTAGAAATAAATCAGGAAATGAGTAATCTACCAGTCGTGTAATGTTCCTGATAGAAGAAAGTACAGCCTTAATAGACTAGAAGACAAGAATCTAACCACAGTGTGTTCGTTGCTGTCACATGACTGCAGTTCACAGATCCAACTAAGGGTGGCAGCATTATGCAACTGCTCTAAGGTCTTTGTGTGAGAAGGATTTATAAAAGAACTGTTGTTGTGTTTGACTGCCAGCAGAAGTGTAGGTGGAAACGTCTTTAGTAGCCTAAAACCTCTGAATCGCCTCCCACATTTTACTCTGATTATCAGCCTACTCGTTGGAGTTGAGATGAAAGAAGTCTGAAACAAAAAGTCTCTAACATAAACCCCTGCCACTTTCTGATGTTTGGCTTATTGCTCCTTTGATCACTTTTAAATAGTTTTTTTGGTAATTTTGTCGTCACTTATAAATAAAATTTAAACAGTTAATAATCCTGTTCGATTAGGATTGATGTATGAACCCAGAAAATGATTGATTTCAAGATGAATCATTGCTTGTTTAGACGCTCCAACAACTGACACCACTGAAAATAAATACCTGCAGCAGCCATCTGTCTGTCCCTGTCAGTGTGTTGAACAAAACAAGATGCTGGCGAGCCGAGCTACAGATCTCTGGAAATCCTACCCATCTATACTCCTCTCAGATGCATGGGCAGACTCGTGTGCAGTATCACGATTAAATCTGAATTAAAGCCGAAGGAGCTGGGGAGTCTGTTGAGAAACAAGGCCTCCGGTTTACTCTTTTCATACATTAGTGTTACTTCCAATTACTCAGACTTTGTGCATTCGTCGTCTTGCCGATTAAAGCAGTAAACCAGATGCCATCTGTCTGGTAAAAAGGTAAATCAAATTTTCAGGGGTTTTGGTTGCTGCAAAGTTAGACTACATCCCTCACCATCCTAACCCTCTGTGAGCCTCTGGATGTCGTCACCTCCCCGGTCTGCTCCCCGGCTCCCAGCCCTCACTACTGAGCCCTTTAGACTGTAACTATACACCGGGCCGGCCCCTGAGGTCCATGCTGAGGGCCTAATCAGTGACATAGACAGCAACCGCTGCAGCAATTTAATTAATCCACATGGGGGGAATGCAAGCTGTTGTTTTGCTGCTGTTGAACAAAAGAGGAGGGTAAAGACGAAGGTGAATCCACTGCTGCGCTGAAGGGAGCTGGAAGCGAGGGATACGCCGCTTCAAAGCGGAGTGTCTGGGTTAGCAATGGAAAATATAATGGGCCAGGACAGCTTCTACTGTATATACAAAGTGTCTACACAGACCTGATCTTGGCTGCTGATATTTCCATCACTTTAATATGCTCTGTTTTACTGTGGCACTTCCTCTTACTGAAACCACTGATATCCAGCAGACAACTGCCAACTGCACTTCCTCCTTGTTAAAGCTGTCGGCAGGAAGCTGGAGGCCGTACAAATTAGCGAGGGTAAACATCTCGTGTATATGCACATAATGGCTTTTTACTTGCTGGAACACAGAGCAACAAAGGTGACGGAATGGAAAGTGCATCACCCAAAGGAATGCTGCCACTTTGCCTGTTATGGTATCACGTCTGTTTAGTCTCTTTGCTAGAGGAGCATGTAGACAGCCGAACTCCACCATTCTGCTCAGGAAGCTAATGTAGATATTTATTTTGTTGCCAAGGCTCCTCTGTAAGATGATGGATCCTCTGCTGGATCGATCAGATGTACAGCAGATAAATTGATAACTTGCTCTCTGTAATCTCCTGCGGTCTGCTGTTGCCTAGAAATCCCCCACAAGTAAAAGTGCACAAAGTATAATGAGTAAAATCTATTTAAAGTATCTATAGTAGAAGTATCCACTTTCAGTGTTTCATTATAAACGATTGGATTATTGTTTGCATTAGTGAGTAAACAGCATTTTGAAGTTGTAGCCGGTCAAGTTAAACATTATTCTGACTGCTTTATATACTATTAGTTTATATCAGTGCAAGCGATCGTATGTTTTGTGTGTAAAATCTTAAAAGAATAGTTAACGATAATCTTTGGAAATACCTTTATTTGGCTTCTTGCTGAGAGTTAGATGAGAAGATTGATGCCACACTAACATGTCACAGCCAGCAGCTGATTAGCTTAGCTTAGCATAAAGTTTGGGAGCAAGGAGGACACCATTCGCCTGGCTCTGTCCAAAGGTCATGATCACATCTAAAGTCCACAAATCAACACGTTATATCTTTGTTCAGTCTGAACACAAACTGAAGTGTAAGAATGACACGTTGTGGTTTTATGTGGGATTTATGAGCCAGTCTTATTTCTTGGCTGGGAGCTGTGGTTTCCTGTGAACCTCACAGTGACAACAAAACTTCAGGAAGTTACTTCACCTGGCCAAGAAATAGACCAGTAGAGGCAGTGGAGTGAAAAGTGCGATCATTGCCTCTCAAGTTTGGAGGAGCAGAAGTGTGGACTAGGAGAAAAATGGAAATACTCCAGAATTACTTACTGTAATAAAGTACAGTCAGGAGCAGAATGTGAGTAAATGTGACACTTAAAGAAGATGTGAGCCAAGTTGGACGTTATTTCAGAAGTTGAGATTTGCATGTCAGTTTAATCCAAACGGAACAGAGATGATCTCACATGCTGTACTTTGCATAAATATTTGACTGTGAGAGCATAAGTGTGGTTTTATACTTTTCTTCTTTGTAAACAAGGACTGACTGCATGATATAATAATGACTGCTACTAACGGGCAGACTCTTGTCACCTGCCCCACCCAACCTGTTACTCATGTCCTGAGGGAGACAGCCAGTTCCATGAAAGCACAGCCGAGAGCTGATGAAGTGAAGTCACCATTTTAGGTCATGGTCTAAATGGGAGTAACAAGAATAGGCTCCTTTCTAATCGTCTGCTCCTACGCACAGCGAGGGAGACAGGGCCTATTGTATGGAGTCCTGCAGCGCTACTACACACTCACGGGTGTTTGTCTTGTCTACTATATATTTTAACCATCCACTGTGTGTTTTATTGGGAGCTTTGCGAAGGGGCTCTTCATTCATTATCAGTCAAAAGCTCTTCAAGGATGTTTTCAAGCGCAGAGACAGAGACTCCATTAATCAGCTAAAGGCTCTGGTTTTTTGTCACCATTTGTGTACGTCTGATGGATCACCAATAAACCCATAAACCAGGCCGCTAACACTAATGGCACTTTTCAATAATGATTTGACCTTTCTGCTTTCACTTCCCCTTCCGCACGCAGCACCATCAGAGGAACACGTCTGAGGATTTGAAATGGAAAACACTTTCCACTTAAACAGCCCCAATAACTGAGGATATAAACGATGACTGATGCCACTCAGAGTTTCCCTCATGCATCGTGCAGAGGAAGTGATGAAACTGAAGATAAAATGCGCCTGTTAAACGTTCATCGTTGTTCAGTAACAGCTGCGGCCCCTGAAAGGTTCTTCAGTTAAAATGGTGGCGAGGAATCCCCCGGGAAGATAACAAGAGCTGATTATATCATGATCATTACGACGCACCATAAACCTTGATGCCATCAGGTCTGGTGTTGCCCTGTAGAGGAGACTCATTTGGGAGGCGTATATAAAATTTACACCTGAACATTTTATTATCTTTTGTATATCACACTTTAAAGGAAATGAATCAGTACTATAGCATTCAAATTCTTCCATATAAATCAATTTGGAGCTAGATAAATTCAGCTGACTTACTCCCTCTTTATAGTACTTGTATGAAAAATAGCTAACACCCCTAAAGGCGTGGATCCCCACTGAACTGACGCTATAAATTTATTTAAATGACTTCACTAAATAAATGCCGTCCATCAAGACGGCTCATCGGAGAGAAAATAAAACTTCACTCAGATATCTCGAGTCACAGTTTATGATATGTAGATGTAAGGTGAGGCGTGAGTGGAGGCTGCAGGAATTGTGACGTACCTATAAAGAAGGTGTCGGGGGCGCCATCGTCTGTCAAGAGCTCCACTGTTTCTGGGTCAAACCTGAGCCAGAGTCCCACAGCCAGCACCAACAAGCCTGACAGCTGAGGGATGAGGAATTATTAAACAACATTCATGTCATGCTCACACACTTTTGCAGAATACAAAATACGCAATTTTTAAAAAAAAAAAAAACTTTCTTGAAATATGGTTCCTGTTTTTTCAGGCTTTAAGTGACACCTTTGTCATGTTTGCCCAGACATCACTCCACAGTTTAAAACATGTTTTTGTCTTTGGCTCTTCAGCTGATTAAGATTCTACAGGTGGCACTGTTGTCCTTGTCTCATCTGAAAAGTGGCTCTTGATGCTCACTGCCTGTTTTTTTTTTTCCCCCCTCAGTTTACACAAACCAGTTAAAACAAACCAGAAATGTTAAAGGTTTTTCAAAAACAGTCAAAGAATCTGAGACATGTCACATGAGCGTGTGGCCTAATATTTCTGTTCAAAACTTTTACTTTTACTTTAAGCCCACTATCCTCTCAGTATAAGATAATATCCCATTTACTAATCTCATTTTTCACGGTCATATGTTTGACTATAGACTAAAATAGGATCTCAGATGTGATGTGGCTGATGAGTTTGTCATTGCTCCCTGGGCAGTCTTTACCAGAAATAAACAATCAATTGAGACCAAGGTGTCACTGAGAAAGCTCATCCCTCTGACCTTCTACACACACCTATCACACATGATTTGGTTTAAACCACCACTGTTATATTTAATTAAAAGACAGACGAAGGGTTTTTGATAATAAATGTATAGGTCTGTTAGTGTGTAGTGCTGAAAGATAATTTTACACAATAAACCCAAAATGTGAACAAATAATTTACAGGTAAGAAAGTAAAATACAACCCATATGTTGTTGTCTTACAGTACCAGTATTGAGCTTTGGTATTCGAGTGTGAACTCTAAGAAACATATAAATCACATCTATAACCAAACCAATTTGTCTGGTCTATGATGCTTTTCCTGGCTTGTTTTTTCTGTTCGTTCAGCCTGGAGAAGAGAAAGATCTGCTGTCAGTGAACTACAGGGAGAATAAAACCCACTGAAAAAGGACAGAACACTTTGTTTCCATATGGGCCATCAGAGTGTCACATCTGAACGCCAGCATCACCATCAGCATCAGTGGTCCATCTCCCATGGTGCATTTCAGCCACAGGCTGTGCCAGCCTCACAGTGCCTGGGTGATGTAACTCACAATGGCATTGGCTGCCTGCTTGTTTGGCTCGGCACCCCAAAATGACAGCGTACTGTACGCTCCTTTTGGCTCCGACCACAACAGCTCCGCTTTCACTCCCAAAACTGTTCAACAAAGAGGCCGCTGTCTGTTTCAGAGACACAAGTAATGGTCCAACAGAGCACAAACGAGTCAGTGCAGCCGCTCAGATCCATACGTACTGTATCATTTAGCAGTAAAACATCAGCTTCCAGTTGGCAGTTAGCAGCTGAAACGTTTAACTGATCAACAGAAAAATTGATCTGCCACTTTGACAATCAGTTAATCGCTGAAGTCATCTTTCAACCCATTGCCAAACATTATTCAGCTCCGGCTTGTCAGCTGTGAGGATCTGCTGCTTTTGTTTGTTTTATGTGATAGTAAGATGAAAATCTTTTGGTTGTCAATTTTGCAAATTGTGATGAACATTTCTCACAATTTTCTATTTTATCGACTAAAAGATGAATCAAGGATTGTTATTTACAGCCCTGACAGCATCTTTCATTTACTGGTTTCATAAAAACTAATGTGTGTAATCTGCCTGGGAGTTGCAAGATGCATTTGAGGGGTTGTTGAAACCTGAACAAGAGACTGCTGCACGAACCTGTCTACATTTTCACGCTGTTTTTGGAGCTTTCTCTTTGCGGATTACTGACTTTTTAAACTTCTTTGGGCCTCTTAAAATGATTCAAATAAGGCAATCTGAGAAGGAAGAATATCGTTTTGCTCTTCATTTGCATGTGTCCACAGTCTGGAAACCTGTGAGGAGGCGTCACAAGTAGACAAACAGCACAGTAGCTTTGTTTTAGGATCCAAAAAAGGTTCAAACCCACTTCTATACTCCACCTTTACCATAAAAGTTAACTCCCATCATCTAAACAGATAATAACAGGACAAGTCAGTGCGCAGCAAACATGAAAGTGCAGCAGCCACATCTGCTGCAGCTGGAGCCACAGGTAACACTATCTGAGCAGATCTACAGAACCAAAACAAAACCTTCCATAATGCACCCAAAGCAGATTAACCATGTGTGTGTGTGTGTAAAAAAAAAAAAAAACACCCTGCACACACTCCCAGACCTGCAGCAGGAAAGTCACAGCACAATGCCACAATCAGGAGAGAGGATCTGAACAGTGGGTGTGTTGGAAAAGTAGCAACACAGGATCATGATGGTACATTACATTACTCCATAAATCAAACCAGTGTTAAAGGTTGAGTGGCTTTCAGGCTCTTATTTGATTTACTCATTCATTATTAAAAAAAACATTTCATAGACAGAGGACGCTAAGAGCTGTAATGAGGCGTGATAATGGACTTAAACGAAACGAGGATGACTGATAGTAGAATTCAAATGGACAGTCTAGCGAAGGAGAAGAGTGTGAAGCAGAGAGTAATGTGAACAGAGCAGGTGGATAGAGGCAATCTGCACGGTCACATTATCAGCACCACTCCCCAGTTCAACAGTGAATAATAAAAGCGGGTTAATTAAAAACCATATAACAATGTCAATGGGTTGGACAGACTGTTAACCTGCAGGATGTTGAGCAAGTAAACACTACAATAATAATGATACAATAATCACTTCAAATGAATAATAACAAATGAATGATAAACTGATTATAATAAGATAATCAGGCTGTTAAACATTAGGGTGATTTTAAAATAGCAAAGCCCTCGTTTCCATGCGAACCGTTGGTAGCGCGGACTTACCCAGAAGATGAAGTTGAAAATAAAAAGCAGATATTTCAGACATTTCATCCCACCCTGCACTTTGCTCATGGTGTCACCTGACGTGTGGGTATCTCCGATCTAAATCCCTCTGAACGCTTTTGTCTTATAGATCCTCGCTTGCTTCCTTCAGCTGGACATCAACCCCATGCAATGACTCTAACCTGCACCGCTACACCATCCAAACACCAAAACATGCGCACAAGCTGCACGCAACGCAACGCAACGCAACGCAACGCACAAGGCGGGCTGCAGCCGCCGCCGCCGCTGTTGTTGTTGCACGCCGCTTTGCACCGCCCATCTGTACGTGCGTGCATGCGTGCGTGTGGACGCTGAGGTAGCCAAGGTAGGGTTCAGGGACGAGCCGGGACCCCCAGAGGGAGGCTCCAGGATGTCCCTGGACAACGTACGGAAGAGGGTAATTTCAGCGTGTGATATCACTGCTTGAGTTTAGCCGTTATGTTAATGTTAATGTTATAGATCTAATTGCCCAAACTAAAGCCTTGTTTGATCACACTCTGTTTAATACACCTCATTTTTACAGGAAAAGTGTTTGTAGATGTGACTAAATACGAAATGATACAACAGCCTGTGTGAGTGGGAGATGTGAAACCAGTCTAGAAAACTGCCATCTGTTTGCAGTCCTTGTTTTTTGTTTTTTTTTGTGTGTGTGTGTGCTACTTTTGAGTAAATGTAGTGACTCCTAACTGACGCCCCAGTAAGGACTTTCAAGGGTGTTAGACAAGTTTACAGTTTATCAACTCTGTGATCATTCACTTCTCACACAGATGATGCTTTTATACACCTGCCTATCACCTGACATCCTGGCACTGATACCAGTGTTTATTATGGAAATATGGGATCTTGTCTACAATATGCACACCTGAGATATGTGACATGACTGTAAACTCCACTCAGGCTGCAAGAAACCAAAAACAAAGGCATGACCTCAGTGTCCAAAGAGTTGTAGCCTATTCTTTAGTGTTACATGTCACAGGGAACATCTACAGTACTTGCATCTGAATTTACATTCAGTAATGCCTATACACAAATGTAATGTATGTTCTTGTGTTCAATTTCTATATGTGCATACATGTACATATGAAGTACAATCATATATGTATTTCAAGTATAGTCTATATATGTAATAAATATGTAACAGAAACATGTATTTTTAGTATGTCTGTTTATACTATAGACATATGTTATGTAAATATATATCCATCCCAAAGCCTGTCAGTATATGTTCATATTATAGATGTAAATATAAAAGATAGACATTTATGTTTAAATTCAATAAGAAATTATTAAGAAAATCATATACAAACATGTATAATTTTAATAAGCATGTTGTTTTAATAAAGTTGCATTTTACTATGACTAATTCATATATGTTATATATTTATATATTAATATATCCAGAGGATGTATATATGTCATAATAATATATCCTCTTGTAGGTGACACATATGGTAACATCGCTCTTGATATAGGGACATATATGTCATATATATGTCATAAGTCATACTATAGTTAGTCATAAAAAAGTCATAGTATGGTAAGGTACCACTGTGATATTCTCACATGACGTGAGCCAATCAAATGCTAGCATTCCTAAATCGGTTGTCTTGGAGACGTAGCCTCTTGTAGGGACATTGAATGATCTAATATGACTTCACTCCAAACATTTTGAGAACGAATTCACTCAAATATTGGTAGGGACAATTCTGTCCTCCCAAAAATATTGATCCCTCTCATCCATATGCAAACCTATGCCCTTGGTTATCATTTCCCATGATGTCTTCAAATGTGTTGTGTCTGAACAACAGTAAAAAAAACCCAGATATACTCAGTTTAGATAGTATCATGTATGACAAAGAAAAGGATGAAATCCTCACATTTGAGAAGCTGGAACTGTGAAAAAAATGCTGAAATGTTTAATTGACTATTAAAATAGCAGCATGTATTGCGGCGTTGCTTTTGCACAACTGAATGCCAGCCAGTCCGTGTGAATGAAGACTGCATATTGGAGCATCACCAAAGCTCCTCTGTGTCTTCTCTGTGGGCTCGAGGGGGGGTCAGCTCGGGTTCACCCTCTCTCACATTCAAGCCTCTCATGTTTGTGCTTCCTTTGTTTGCTCCCACTGATGTGGGAGGGAAACAGCGACCCCCTGTTTGTCTGCCAGAGTATCAGTGAGCATCAGCCCAGATGGATCATGAGACACATCACATCACTGCCCACCTCTTCTATCTCCTGTCAGATCCAGAGTCATAAAAATAGATAGATAGATAGATAGATAGATAGATAGATAGATAGATAGATAGATAGATAGATAGATAGATAGTATTGTATCCTGTTGAATTACAAGTGATTAATAGTTTCTATGTAACCCTAAATAAGATCAACTTCATCAATGTTAACCTAATATCAGTTTGGTCATCCAATCCTGTCACAAATTCAGAGCTGTAATTATCACAGTGGAAGTAAACCCGAACTGAAACCATATCCTAACATCCTCGGGGTATAATGGAGTCAAAATCCCATTATCCTTCTTCAGCCGCCCTCTCCTCACCCTCCTCTTCTGTGCTTGATATGTAAATCTGGTGCAATAATGTAACCTGATCTCCATATGGTGCAACTGTGAGTCATCCTTATGATCCAAGAGAGATCAAAGGTGCAGAAACACTGTGGTGATACCAAAAATAATTACTGAGCTAGGTAGTTTTATGAGGTCAGGCCATGTCAGTCTGGCAGTGTCTATTAGTGCTTTTTTTAAAAAAAAAAAAATTACATTTCACTTTCTTGACAGTGTGTGTATCAACACCTGAAAACTAAAATCATATATTTGTGTGGATCACCAAGAGGGAAAGTACAGTGGAAACCTGTGAAATGAACAGGACCAGACTGAGACACATAAGCATTATGAAGGCGGACGTCTGGTCCAGCCGTGTCCTCCGTCTCCATCTAGTGGACAGTTTGAGAAGTGCACATACAATGTGTTGGTTCTAATTGAATACATTAGTTTACTGCTGAAGAAAAGATGCTTTTGTCTTTTCTTGATTTAAAGGTGTTATTGACACTTTCCTAATCATAACCAATCACATCTGTGTGTGTGATCAGGCAAGCAGAGCACTAGTTAAACCATCATCTAAATCTGATCTAATGTCAAACCTACCTGATATGACTGATGCTTTCCTTTAAGTTGTGATACTAAGACAACTATTATATAACATGTAATAAACATATAATCTGTGTTGAGATAAGATGATGCGCCTGTTTTATGTTATTTTTGTAACCATAAGGTCTTTGTATCCCACACCTCCAGGCTGTGTTTTCCTGCCTTCACTAGGATACATGTTTTGTATTGTTGTTTTTTTTGCAGTAACGAGAACAACAGCAAAACAGAAACGTTGTCTTTATCCGAGTAGAATGACTAAACCAGGAACTCAACATGACGCGTGCACAGCAGTATGTTATGTTTTTTTTTTTTTTACAACAGTCCCATATAAAATAGTTCAAATTATTTCCAACTCAATCAACAACACAGTAAAATTCTGCTTTTACATTAATGCATCAGTAATAATAATCTGATGATATAATACACAATAGTATAATACTCACAGGGGAATTTTACTTTTGAAACTTTAACTACTTTTATCTGTGACATTATTTTACAGTCTGGTATTAGTACTTAGTATTTTTACAGTCTGGTATTAGTACTTAGTATTTTTACAGTGTAGGATCTGAATACTCTATCCACCAGGTTTAGCAGCAGAGTTGCTCTTCTTCCTTGAATGGTTTTATGTGAAGATACAGTAGACATGTGCCAACATTTAACCTCTAGAGGGCAGTGTTGCATTATGTTTCGGGTAGTGCAGCGATGCCTGAGTTTGAGGCAAACACAGCCAGTAGAGAACTAAACAAATTAGCTCAGAAAATCCATATTTTCAGTTGACAGCTCAGTGGGAATATTTCTCTTAAAACTCTAGTGTCCAGAGACATAATCTCAGCAGCTGCCCTTTGTCTCTGTTTCAAGTTTCCCTCCAAGCTCACAGAGCTCACATCACATATTTTAAATGTCAGCTGTGACACAAACTTGGGCTATGAGCCTAAAAATAATCACAACTGATAGCGACTGTCAGCCTTAAGTACAATTTGTAGAGAGCTCACGACGCTGAAGTGTCACTAGCAAAATAAAGAAAATGACAAGCTGTGATATTATCAGCCAGAGGTAGACTGATGAATCATAGGCAATCTTATTTATGTTTATGTCTTTTTCCTTGACTGTAGAATGACGAGCAGCAGGAAAACTTAAAGCAAAGCCAAAACACAAAATTACTGGCAGTAAACTGAAGCCATATGGGGTTTCTCTTCATTTTTCCATCAAGGCCAAAAAACTAAATTTCTTCTCATGTCAAGACTTAGGGAAACAACAGGCTTAGTATTCATACAATAAGCTTAATAAAAACACACAGTGCATGTATGTGAGTGTTTAATAAATAACAATGTCAACAATAACATTTTAACAAAAGTTTTGCTTATATCAGACCTGGGTCAAATTGTATTTCTAAAATTTGTGGGTTGCATTAGTCGACTTAGAGTGAATGGTGTGTGCTGTAGGAAAATATAATGAGTGGCAGAAACATACTATAATTATCCTGATTGTGTTGTTGTCTAAAACTTTAAGGGGCTGTCGCTCTGTGACAAGCTTTGCTGTGGTTTCTAGTTCAAGACATGCTGTCTGGCTGTCTGCGCCCATGGTTCAGTCTAAATGCAGGTTACCGTGTCCTGTTGAAATCACCTAAAGGCCACTAGAGGTCATTGTATCTGAGGCTTAAATTTTACCTCCTACAGAGGCTGAATTTTAAGATCAAAAAAATCTGTATAAATGCAGATTTCTACATCAGAAATAATTTTTATTATGTCACACCTGCCTTGGTTTATTTTTGACCCCAGAAAGGAGACTGATTATGAATAAATGTATAAACTACTGTAGCAGCACAAGTCCAGTCCTGTCCCTGCAGACATGAAGTTTCTCACTAATTTAAGACATGAATTGTTTTAGTCAGTTGAAGCTACATGTACAATATGATTTCCATCTGTATTCATTCATAAAAGAAATATACTTGTCTTCATCAGCTTGACTGTAAATGATAAAACACACGCTGTCTCTTTCCTCAGTGGGATTTTAGTGATAATGGCGATCCAGGCAGCTCAAACCAGTCTCCTTAATTACATTTTGAAGCATCTGAATCAGCTGTGGCTGAGACGTGTTATTGGTCCCGATGAATAATTCGTTAGCTGAAGTCACATGTATAATTTGGAACAGGGGTAGTGTTGGCCTATTATTTGCACTTAATTTGAACATTTGATAGGATGTTGTTTTTCACATTTTTATTTATCACATTATTTATCACACTTTTCATCCATCTTCAGTGTCTGCATTCATAATAAATGCCCCTTCTCTGACGCACCTCACCACATCAGCAGCAGCATCTCTCTCCTGCTTCCTTATATAATCCATATTTATCAATTTCACATGGTAATTGTTACTGGAGATATACACAAATAAAATGAACTTTTGTTTGCAGAGGATAAAATGTAAGGATTTCTCTTTTATAGACACAGCAGTCAGGTGCCACTGAGCAGCTGACTTTTAACCCTTTGCAAGCTGAGCCTCTTCTAAACCACAGCTAAAACTGTCACACTGCAACAGGCCCTTCACATGTGGTGTTTCAAACTAGCTATAAGCTAACTGCAGATACTATTTGACCCAGGCCTGGTGTATATATACACATGCAGTCCTGATACTTTGTCATATAGCCTTCCAATAATTTACTTTGTGCAGAGAGTGAGAAGTCTTTGGTGATAAGTTATGCAGAGAAGGTCACAACTGCCTGCATGTTAGCACGAATTTGTCTGTGTTATGTACTGCACTTGACTGAGTGAGTGTGTGTGTGTGTGTGTGTGTGATGTGTCTAGGTAAAGTCTTCACTGCCGCCACGACTTCCGGCTGAGCACACACACACAGGCCACGTTGATGCGTATGAGCCTCCAGGCCACCAGGTTTTTAAAGGAAGTCAGCGCTCGTACAAAAGTGTGTGAGTTGGTGCAGTAGGAGTTCCAGTGTCTCGCGTCGATCCCCAAACAGCCCGAGCCGCCTGAGCGAGCGCTGTGACACGTCGTCTCAAAGAAGTACTGCTTCTTGTTGACATTGTTGATATTCACATCTGGGAGCACTGTCACCTCGTTGCCTGAGATGTCCGTGGCCTTGGTCTTGTTGCCGACCCAGACGCTGATGCTCTCACACACCGAGTACACGCCTCGGTGCTGAGGCTGCCCTGTTCGCCTGCGGCTCCTTCTCCCGGGACCTTGCGACCCTGCCGCCGGCTCCGCGTCAGGGGGCAGAGAGCTGAAGAGCACCCTGGGTGAGAGGTAGTGGCGCTTGGTGAAGAGTTTGGGGTCCACTGTGGGGATGGAGTCGGGGCTGTCGCCTGGATCCTGCTGCTGTGCCGTCGTGGCGGTACACGAGTCCCCTCTGATGGTGGCCACAGCCTGGGCACTGAAGAAGAGGAACAGGACCAGCACGGACGACCTCATGGGCACACAACCTAAGGGTGTCAGCAAGCACAGAAAACATCTGTCACTGTAGTGTAACCACATGGTGACGGGGCCTCGTACTGGTATGTTGAATACTGCAATAACTGGTTTTCTGGGCACTTGAGGGCACTGGGAACAAACTAGGAGCAGAACACTGACATGTTATCACCTTTTAAGTGATATAGTGAACTTCTTACCAAACACTTCACATCTAGCTCATATGGAGCAGCATTAGTATTCATTTGTCTGTCTTTGATCTCAACCAGCTCCTGAGGGAAACTGAACCACAACAATGAAGTTGCAGGTCAGAAAACCGACGCAATGAGCTGAAAGTTGCTGTAAAGCTCTATAGAGCTGCAGGGAACTGGTAATTCTCTGTGGGTTCATTACTTTGACTGACCCCTTTCCCATCGAAGAAGTCTGGTGATCAATGCTTGAGATGAAAAATATTGATTATAGCAGCCTTTAAAAAATATTTTATTATTTTTCCATGCTTACCAAGACTCACACAGTAACAAATACAGTATTTTTTTTATATATCTATTGCAGTATCAAGGTACAGAGACTGCACATCCCATCGTATTACAGCCTGGAGGGAGGATAACAGAGAGAAGTTTTGACTACTGGATTGGAAGTTTTGGGAGCTTCAGTTCAGTGTATGGTTGATAATAACCAAATTTAGCTCCTTGTTACAGTAGGAAAACATGTCTTCCATAATATTAAATGTTGATGACGTAGCCTCAACTACAGTCTATAGAAAAATTCAATGTCTAACATGTTTGTAGTTTAACAAGACTTGAGCAAGACTTTTTTGGTCCACAGTTGTCATCCAAGGCTGTGTCCTGACCGCAGGTTAGGTTAAGGTTAGAGATGGTTAAAATCATTTGAATCACAGACTTTACCTTTAAGCATAGGAGCTATTGAAAAAAACCAAAATCCTATTTAAGTAGGTGGGATACTGAAATGAGGCACTGCCTGAGAAGCTCAACAGAGGGCAACAATGTCCCAATATTTGTACTGTATTTGTGTGTGTAAACAGGAAGTGGTGGAAAGTTTAATATCTAATTGAATGGTTAATTGTGAAATGGTTGACTTAATTGTATCCACAGAGAGGACAGTGAACTCTGCACAGTGCAATGTCCTCTGCTGTCTCTGATGTTCTTATGAAGGAGGAAGGACATCTGCACTATGAGATTAGATAACGTGTCACACACAGTTAATGGTATTGTCTCTGTTTTATTTCACAGAGGATGTGACAATACAACCAGAAATGAGCTTTTAGTCTATGGTTTTTCTTAGATGGATATTTACTTCTTATGTTCTGTATTCAGCATTGGTTGATAATGGAAGTGCTGCATTTTCATGATTTACCCTTGAACATCAAGTTGACTCCAAAGAAATCTACGATTTGATCTAAGCTCTGCAAAGCTCTTAGTTTGATCTAATCTTCAAACTGTGTTCACAGACACAAAAAAAAGAAGGAATCCATGAGTCTGTCTCTGGTTGAGAAGGAAACGACGTGAATAGTATATCAGAAAAAGAGCTGAATTCCCTTTGTGGAATAGAAAAGAAGATCTGGTTTATTGTTATCCATAGAAATAGGTGTCACATTACCCACAGGAATATAAGTGACATTGTTGTGACATCCCATCAGTTTGAGACCATTTTCTTTTCATCACACCCTGGCTCCTCTCCACTCTCTGTTACTGCCTTACTGGTTTGCATAAATTGACAGCCTGTGTACTGTGTTTAACACACTACAACAGGAATCACAGGCGTGTTAACACCTGTGATGGCGCTGCTGGCAGGTTCTGTCAGGTAGGTTTATTATATGCTATGATTGCCTCAGGTGTGACAGTGAGTGCTCCTGGATTCAAACTGTTGGCACAACAAATCAAAAGAAAAACACAGCCTGTACAAAGGTACATAATGTGAGCTATGATCACACTAATAAATGCTTTTGAGGCATGTCCAATTCAGTTGAGTGTCTCTCGTCGCACCTCACCACTGGGCCCTGTCTCCCTGTGTGTGCTGCATCATTTGGACATAAAAAAAAAAAATCATTACTGCATCACTTTCAGGATGATTAGTATTATTGCTAAACAGCAGATCACGGCAGAGGAAGGACACACAGGAAGGTTGCTTTACAGCAGGAAGCAGGAGACGTTCACCCAGTGGATAAAAGAACTAAAACTTTTGGAGTCAAGCGTAAGGCTGATGAAAAAGAGATGAAGATGAAAGATGATGATGATGAAAATTTTTTTTTTTAAATGAGCCTCCCCAGTGGCAGCAACTGTTTTGCAAAAGGAAGTAAGAGGATCATGATGTTGAGAAATGCAAGAGAATCACTGATGTGAGACGAAGGATAAAAATGTAGTTAATGACACAAAGTTATTGCAGTTAAATGAATTAATGCTTAAAATGCTATCTGTAGCATTTTTACTAATACTAATACTAATACTCCTTATTATATATGAAAAGCAAGAGAGATTTAGGTCTGCAAAAAATCTCTTTTCACAGCAGACATTTTGATGTGTAATGCTAGAGAACAGGTGATGAATAAGATTAATGATGGGTGGATTCCATCCAAGCGTGTTAGTTCCAGGGTTTTGGTATTCCCAGCATCCTTGGCATGGCTTACTGAAACACCTAATGTTAGTAACACCTGTGTTTCCTGTGTTCAATCATCTGCAGTGAAAAATGTCACGGAAGTAAGAAATCTTCTCTTTTACGCCTGCCCACATGCTAACGGACCAAAACTGTCACATTTAGCATCACAACTTTTAAATTGCTTTAAATTTAAAAGAACTCCAGAAGTCTGGTTGAGATTAGATCCCAGATGACTGCAGTGCAGACAGAGAGGGGAGCACCTTTGGAGATGATACAGAATAGTGGGGTTTTAGCCATTTAGTAGCATTTGATTTGAACATTTGAAAGCATGATGCACCACTCTTCTTTTAGTTTTTTCATTGCGTGTGTCAGGGGAGAATACAGTTCACCTTCCATGCATCTTCATTGTCTGCTGTTATCAAATTCTCTTTATTATTATAAGATTTCTGTGACGTACCTCGTCCTCCAGCAGTAGAACTTCCTCCCTGTTCAAGTTAGCTTTTTGTCTCGATTACAAACAAGTTACTTATTATTTCATATCTCTTTGTGTATTTATATTTGCTACCCTGGAAATATTGATTTCATACAAAACTAGCTAATGAGAAGTTTTCGCAGAATAACATACAACTGTGTAAATGGTAAGGATTTGTTAAAGAATAGACAATGAATTTTTACAGCATTTATTTCCTTATTATAGGCCTAAAAATTAACTAAAGCTTGGTCTTATTTAGGACGTCATCATATAGTGAGCAACGCGTTTGTTTGCTGCGTTTGTGACCCAGCACAAGGTTCGACTGGTTGATCTATGGTGCTGCTGCATCGATCAATAGAACGCATGAATTGTTTGGTGCACTTCCCTCTTCTGGAGACCGTCATCCATCCATCTTTCTACCTTTTCAGTGTCTCCACGTGAACTTTAGCACCTCGGAGGCTCCTAGAGGACGTGATTAGAGCTCTCTGTGTTCCAGGCTCCTGCCATCAGGCCAGGCCGTGGCCCCCATCCAGCACAGCTCTGCCCTCCACAGCCTCCGCTCCTCTGCGCTGTTGAGAGACAAGCAGACAAAGTGTCTCAGCCCCGCTCATAAAGCCACTATAAACACATTCTTTCTGAGACTGATACAGGAAGAGAAAGTTAATATGTTATTCCCGCTCACCAGATCCTCACATACTGAACATACCAAAATAAAACAAGCAGACCTGCATAATGTAGATTATCTACTGTGGAAACGTGCACAGCAAGGTGTGTATGTATGTGGAAAAAGCTCATTCTTTGCATTAAAAATGTGTAAACATTTCAAGTTCAAGTTATTTGAGAACCGATAAACCAGATCATTTCAACACTTGGTCAACACATTTTCTTAAATCGGGATTTTGCTGTTCATTGTCCTGCTCTGTTTCATGATTCCACCTGGTTTGATTTCCTACTCTCAAAGTACCATGATTCATTTTTGAGCAGTGTGGAAACATGGGTACCATTACAGCTGGATAATCTATCACAGTAAAGCAGAAGCCTTCATTTTGTTTTGTCATTTTGTCCTCATGTTATGTTTCTGTGCTCAAGAGTGCTTGAGTGAAGTGTTTTCATGTCAACACACTATGTGTCTATGTGTTGTTACACTTTACTTGGTGTCAGTCACCTGAAACCCACAGGAATTAAGCTCCCAAAAGCTTCAAAGGCTCCAACACCAATCCCTGAAAACATCTTCCCAAACAAATTTAATAACCTTTTCATTTTTTTTTTTTAAGTTCAGATCTCTTTTCAAGTTACTTTCCAGTCGCAGAGGAAGTCAGAAACAGTCATTAGGATACGGCACACTTACAGGAATGTATGGTGCAATTGTAGGAATGTAAACTAAACATAAACAGAAGTTAATGGGCTGTAAATCTAAATGACTCCAGTGTACTCCTGTAAAGAATCTGCACGGGCACAGGAGGTCTTCTTGCTCGACAGCTCCTCAACAACGGTGGCAGACGGGATTTAAACGTGTGACCTTTCACCTGCGAACGGGCTGTTTAATATAGAAGCCACCCTGATTTGGCACTTTCTGAAACGAAATGAGCAACATTGACCGCATTGACCACAGTCCAAGTGTAACATGTTCTTCTTTTCTGTGGAAACTGTTGGACGAACACAGAGGTTGAATAGTTACCAAGTTGCCGGTGATAGAAAAACTTTGGAGGAACAGAGAGTCTGCTCCGGCTGTGTCTTCCTGGTCTATTTTGTGACTGACACTGATTGCACTGTAGGCATTTATTTGTACAATACATACTATTTATTTTAAGCATTTAAGAAATTTATTCCTGACCTTGGAAACAGTTTGATAACACAATCCCAACTCAAGGTTGACTTATTGGCTTTTTCTGGAGCTTTCAGCCCAATCACACAACCT